GCATTCACTCTTGCTGAGTGACAAGCTGAAGTCCCAGAACCTTCTGAGACCAATCACCCAATACATGCATAATTATATGCATGGGCTCTGCCCAAATGGTGTGCTGAACTAGGTATTTGTTTTTGTGGATCCAACCGCTTGCTTCCAGTGGTGTGGCTGAGATTTGGAAGGCACATGGCTTTGTGCAACTTTGGGCCCAGCCTGCCATTCACAAATGCAATTTGAAAAGGCTATTTCTGCCCAAAGCAGTGGAAGGCCACAAAAAAGCTGGGAAGTTCAGATGCATCCTCAGAGATTCTGGGTCTGTACCAGGTGCTGGCACACTATGTCCAAATTTGTTGCTTGCCTAATGGCATTTGTCTTCTGGGGTCAACTTGCTCTTTGGCTTGGTGCAAAGTTTTGGACTATCGCCTATCCATCCCTGCTTTGGAAAAGCCTGACTACAAGCAATTGCTTTCATTTGTTGAAGCAGCATTGGAGGCAACTGTTGCAGCTGACTGGTCGGAAGAATTCGAGCCAAAGATGCACTGGTCACTTCATATTATAGTCAGAGTCTCCAGAGGCATGGCCAATTACCTGCATGCTGGACCATGGAAAGGAAGCACAAAGGCACTAGAAAACATGGGAATGTCTTGTGCAACACTACCTATTGGGAAACTTCTCTGAGGAAGTCTGTCATTGCAGGGCACATCTATACATTGGGTGAAGAGTCAAGACTGTTTAGAGAAGGCACCTGCCTACAAAATGCAAAAAGGGGGCCCCGCAAAGAAGATGACGGCATTCCTATGCAAAGCTGGCGTGGTTCCTGTGGGAATGCCTTGCATGCAGAGCTCTCGTTGTAAACTTTTTTCTGGGGCAACAATTACTTCTGGTGATGTTGTCTGTTTGCACAATGTGGATGGAGGCTCACCAGCTGTCAATGCAGCTCAAGAGCATTGCTTTTTTCAAAGTCCCATGTGGTGATGTGGCCCTTGTCGAAAAATATTTGTTCCAGGAAATTTCAAACAAACATCCGGGCGTTGCTTCTTTACAAGAAATCTCGTGTGCTGTCACTTACAATGCTGCCAAAGGCAGGGTGACATGCCTCACCCCTGCATTCTTGCAACTTTGAAGGGACATGCAATTTCCATCCACAGCAAATGTCTTTGGAAAACAAGCTTCGGTGGTATGCCCAACAGCCGCAACGTTTTATGTTTACTAATCTTTCTGAAGCCTGCTGCCAAGCCAAGCGCTGGAAACACTTCAGCTCGGTTTCCGTGAGTTCAATGGCCACAAATCCTGTTGAACTTGACCTGGCTCTGCACCAAAGCCTCCCAGACCTTCTCCGGAACCCTGTTGAACCTGACCTGGCTCTGCACCAAAGCCTCCCGGAACCTTCTCCGGAACCTTCACCAGAACCCTGTTGAACCTAACCTGGCTCTGCTCCAAAGCCTCCCGGGACCTTCTCCGGAACCCCGGAGCCCTGTTGAGCCTGACCTGGCTCTGCACCAAAGCCTCCCGGAACTTTATCCGGAACCCTGTTGAACCTACCAAAAGGCTCCGGAGGATTAAAAGGATTAAAAGGATCAAATCATTTAATCCTTTTAAACCGTTTAATCCTTTTGATCCTTTTAATCCTCCAGACCTCCCAGAATCCCAAGAAAAGCCCAGCAATTTAATTCTTTAAATCCTTTTAATCCTTTTGGACCGGGAATTCCGGACCCCCTGGAGGATTAAAAGGATTAAAAGGATTAAAAGGATTAAATCATTTAATCCTTTTAATCCCTTTAATCCTCCAAAAGGCTCTGGAGGATTAAAAGGATTAAAAGGATTAAATCCTTTTAATCCGTTTAATCCTCCAAAAGGCTCTGGGGGATTAAAGGGATTAAATGGATTTAAATATATTTCTCAAGGGCTTGGACCGGGAATTCCGGACCCCCTGGAGGATTAAAAGGATTAAAAGGATTAGATCATTTAATCCGTTTAATCCTTTTAATCCCCCAAAAGGCTCTGCAGGATCAAAAGGATTAAATGGATTTAAATATATTTCTCAAGGGCTTGGGCCGGGAATTCCGGACGATTAAAAGGATTAAAAGGATTAAATCATTTAATCCTTTTAATCCCCAAAAGGCTCTGGAGGATTAAAAGGATTTAAAGGATTAAATGATTTAAACCTTTTAATCCTTTTAATCCTTTTAATCCTCCAGACCTCCCAGAATCCCAAGAAAAGCCCAGCAATTTAATTCTTTAAATCCTTTTAATCCTTTTAATCCTCCAAAAGGCTCTGGAGGATTAAAAGGATTAAATGGATTTAAATATATTTCTCAAGGGCTTGGGCCGGGAATTCCGGACCCCCTGGAGGATTAAAAGGATTAAAAGGGTTAAAAGGGTTAAAAGGATTAAATCATTTAATCCTTTTGATCCCCCAAAGGACTCTGGAGGATTAAAAGGATTAAAAGGATTAAATCATTTAATCCTTTTAATCCTTTTAATCCCCCAAAAGGCTCTGGAGGATTAAAAGGATTAAAAGGATTAAATGATTTAATCCTTTTAAACCGTTTAATCCTTTTGATCCTTTTAATCCTCCAGACCTCCCAGAATCCCAAGAAAAGCCCAGCAATTTAATTTTTTAAATCCTTTTAATCCTTTTAATCCTCCAAAAGGCTCTGGAGGATTAAAAGGATTAAATGGATTTAAATATATTTCTCAAGGGCTTGGGCCGGGAATCCCGGACCCCCTGGAGGATTAAAAGATTAATCATTTTAATACCGTTTAATCCTTTTTATCCCCCAAAAGGCTCCTGGAAGGATTAAAAGGATTAAAAGGATTAAATGATTTAAGCCTTTTAAATCCTTTTAATCCTTTTGATCCTTTTAATCCTCCAGGACCTCCCGAATCCTAAGAAATCCAGCAATTTAAATCATTTAATTCTTTTAATCCTTTTAATCCCCCAAAGGACTCTGGAGGATTAAAAGGATTAAATGGATTTAAATATATTTCTCAAGGGCTTGGGCCGGGAATTCCGGACCCCCTGGAGGATTAAAAGGATTAAAAGGATTAAAAGGATTAAATCATTAAATCATTTAATCCTTTTAATCCTTTTAATCCCCCAAAAGGCTCTGGAGGATTAAAAGGATTAAAAGGATTAAATGATTTAATCCTTTTAAACCGTTTAATCCTTTTGATCCTTTTAATCCTCCAGACCTCCCAGAATCCCAAGAAAAGCCCAGCAATTTAATTTTTTAAATCCTTTTAATCCTTTTAATCCTCCAAAAGGCTCTGGAGGATTAAAAGGATTAAATGGATTTAAATATATTTCTCAAGGGCTTGGGCCGGGAATCCCGGACCCCCTGGAGGATTAAAAGGATTAAAAGGATTTAAAGGATTAAATCATTTAATCCTTTTAATCCTTTTAATCCCCCAAAGGACTCTGGAGGATTAAAAGGATTAAAAGGATTAAATCATTTAATCCTTTTAATCCTTTTAATCCCCCAAAGGACTCTGGAGGATTAAAAGGATTAAAAGGATTAAAAGGATTAAATCATTTAATCCTTTTAATCCTCCAAAAGGCTCTGGAGGATTAAAAGGATTAAAAGGATTAAAAGGATTAAATCATTTAATCCTTCTAATCCTTTTAATCCCCTAAAGGGCTCTGGAGGATTAAAAGGATTAAACGGATTAAACCATTTAATCCTTTTAATCCTTGTAATCCTCCAAAAGGCTCTGGAGGATTAAAAGGATTAAAAGGATTAAATCATTTAATCCTTTTAATCCTTTTAATCCTCCAAAAGGCTCTGGAGGATTAAAAGGATTAAATGATTAAACGGATTAAACCATTTAATCCTTTTAATCCTTTTAATCCTCCAGACCTCCCAGAATCCCAAGAAAAGCCCAGCAATTTAATTCTTTAAATCCTTTTAATCCTTTTAATCCTCCAAAAGGCTCTGGAGGATTAAACGGATTAAATGGATTTAAATATATTTCTCAAGGGCTTGGGCCGGGAATTCCAGACCCCCTGGAGGATTAAAAGGATTAAAAGGATTAAACCATTTAATCCTTTTAATCCTTTTAATCCTCCAAAAGGCTCTGGAGGATTAAAAGGATTAAATGGACTAAATCATTTAATCCTTTTAAACCTTTTAATCCCCCAAAAGGCTCTGGAGGATTAAAAGGATTAAAAGGATTAAATGATTTAATCCTTTTAATCCTTTTAATCCCTTTAATCCTCCAGACCTCCCAGAATCCCAAGAAAAGCCCAGCAATTTCATTCTTTAAATCCTTTTAATCCTTTTAATCCTCCAAAAGGCTCTGGAGGATTAAAAGGATTAAATGGATTTAAATATATTTCTCAAGGGCTTGGGCCGGGAATTCGGGACACCCTGGAGGATTAAAAGGATTAAAAGGATTAAAAGGATTAAAAGGATTAAATCATTTAATTCTTTTAATCCTTTTAATCCCCCAAAGGACTCTGGAGGATTAAAAGGATTAAATGGATTTAAATATATTTCTCAAGGGCTTGGGCCGGGAATTCCGGACCCCCTGGAGGATTAAAAGGATTAAAAGGATTAAAAGGATTAAATCATTTAATCCTTTTAATCCTCCAAAAAGCTCTGGAGGATTAAAAGGATTAAAAGGATTAAATCATTTAGTCCTTTTAATCCTTTTAATCCCCCAAAAGGCTCTGGAGGATTAAAAGGATTAAAAGGATTAAATCATTTAATTCTTCAAATCCTCTCAATTATCCAAAAGGCTCTCAAAATTATCAGAATTAACCGGAACAAAATGGTACCTAAAGGTCTCTCGATCATATATATATATATATATACACACATATATACATATATATATATATATGTATACATATGTATATATATATATATACATATGTATATATATATATATAAATATATAGATGTTATGCACATAACGTCCCCAGGGATATTGTAACCTCAGGGGTGGTTGGACCTTCAAAATCTTGACACCTACCCATCTTTTATGCCTTGCTGTCCAGTGGCCAAGCCAGGACGCTGGCCCTGTGCATAGTCAGCACTGTGGGCTCATTACTTTGGACTCTGGTGCTGTTGGTGTTGCTCTTCTACACCTTTGGCGTTCTGCTGCTGCTTGCCTCAAAAGGGGATCCAACGCGGCAACTGGGGCCCTGGGTGCGGCCACTGAGGACGCAGCTCGTGACGGACCATTGCCGCGATAGGTCGGCAAGCTGAGGGAATGCGTGGATGATTTGGCTGAGTGATGCTGAGTGAACGGTCATGGCACTCGCGCAAGCATTCCTGACTTTACGATATGTATCAAACTCCAGAAGGATTCACCTAAGACTTAGGCCAAAACCTCAAACTAACCTGAAACCGAGATGTCCAACATGTTCCACAAGCTGGTTCCCAATAGCTGTCTAAGTTGGTTTACAATGAAATCCCCAGCATTGCTGTGACGGTCTCAGCTGATTGAGCTTGCAACACCTGCACGTAGTGATTTTCATTTCGCCCTGCGGACTGCAAAAAAAACAGTTTTCGACCACAGACATTTCTCCCCACTTGGAGCTGGCCAGGAACATTCTAGAGCAAGAGGATGCCAATGCTACACCGAGCTGCCCCAAGGAGTTCTATTACTGGAGGAGCACCTTTGCTTGGCGGTACTTTCAGTAGACCAGTCGGACAGTCGGATAGGCATTGGTTCAGATTGGAATTCTGGCAGGACAGTGCCAGACAGTATGCTGACGCATCTTGGCTTGCGAGTTCAGCACAAAACCTTCAGGAGATGAAAGGGTGTGAACTTTCGAAATCTGGATTTCTGAGTAAAAATATCATCCAACTTTCATCCACCAATACAGTAACACACAGTAACCTTTTTTTGAAACCCGCTTCCCAGCAGAATATCTCGGGGCTGAGGCTGTTCATGTCCATCGCGGGTGGCCTCAGTTGGGAGGACGCCTTGACACCTCTGCGGGGCGTTTCGGCTTTGGCCGTGATTTTCATGGTGATTTTCATCGTGATCACCGTCTTCGCCGTCCCTTGGTGAATCCGAAGCGGATGAACTGAAGTGAAATCATGAAAATCTGTGCTGGAGTTTTTTAGGCTGGTGGAATTTGAATCAGATCCTTTTTTTACCATTTGAAACCCATGTCAAACCATGTCAAACCCGCTAATTAGTCACTTGTTGATACAATATGATAACTGCGAGATGGCACCAAGGTGCTCAACGTTGTGACGGGTTCGGAGCTCAGATCCCGCAGGCTCTCAGCTGTCCCACCACCCTGCTGCGCTGCTCTTGGTGGTCGGATGCCCCATTGTCCTTCGACCATGTGCATTTGGGATGGTTGCAGTGAACTTGGCACGTTTGATCATATTGCATGGGAGTGCCCTCGTCGCCCTTGTAATATACTTAATATACCTAAACGTGCCGAGTTTTTGTCTTCTCGGTATGGTTGGGTCGTTACAAATCAAGTTTGTGACATTGATGCTGTGCATGGTTGGTTGGTTGGTTCATGTGCAAGAGACGCTTTGGTTCCTTGTCCATCCATGACTTGTGCTTGTTTGTATCATGGTCCTAGTTACCTTCCGGTTCATTGGTCTTGCTCCCCTCTGGGTTTGGCTTGGTTTGTTTGGGTCTTTGCCCCCTTGGTTTCCTTTTTGCGGTGTTGGTTGGTTTTTCGCTGGGCTGTTTGCACCTTTGGTGTGGTCTGGGCGCCTTGGCCTCCCGCCATGGAGTCGTTTGTTCCCGTTGCGCCCGTCTGCCGAGGTGTGTTCTGCAACACGGCCATAGAGAGCGCCAACGCGGATAAGGTCCGAGTCAACGGGATCAGGGTCAGGGCTGGAAGTGTTTCTGCGAAATGATGGGAACTAAATAGCAAAAATGAGTCAGAACGCCTTGAGAATGAGGCATCGGCTCATGAATTATCAGGGATCCAAATTGCAACAAGAGCTTCAAGAGCTAAACTCTTCCATACAAAGCTCGTGTTGAGGTCCTTTTTGAGGTCATCTTCGATTGTCAAGTGCACCCCACAGTTGCTGTCTAACCTGGCAGGACATTGCAGTGATCAAGCAGCTCCAAAAACAGGCCTCGCATGTGGAGGCGCTGCGGAAAATCTTTGAAGAGAGCCTTGGCCAGTTTTCTCCCCCAAAAGAAAAAGAAAACGATGAACCCATACAGGGCTGGTTCTTTTTTAACGGCTGTAATTAGATTACTATAGATTACTAATATTACGACTGGATCATCCATTTCAGAGCAATGCCCCCTAATACCCGAATGATCTGCAAAAAACAACCCCAACATCACCGATTGTGGCATTGCTGAAGTGTTGAATGGATTGGCTCTCACTGCATGGAGGTAATAAATGGCGGACCCCGTAGTCTGCCATATTTCTGCCACATCGTCCAGTGAGGATTGATGCTGACTCCCTGGATGTGGTGAGCATACAGGACTTGGAGGAAGCGATGTCGCAGAAGAAATTGTCCAGCTTCCTCGAGTCCATGGGAATCTCAACGGAAGATGTTTGGACGCTCTTTATGATTATGGACAACGACCAGACAGGCCTCGTCAATCTAGAAGAGTTTGTAAGAGGTGGGATGCAGGGGGATCGGGGGATGGGATGCGCCATCGGCTGGGTTGTTGTCTGGAAGTCATTGCAGATCATTACCGTGTCACAGGCACTTTTTTTGAAAATCTCGCTGCAAGAGCATGAAGCTTAGGTAGGCACTTGGAGAACACCGGTGCCACAGGCACTTGGAGCATGGAACAGGATGACGTTGCAACTCCTTCCCATGGATTCTGCCGTGGATCTCCATGGCTTTACGTGTTACATCGTGTCACAATGCCATTCGCTCGGCCAGGTTGCTTGCAGGGACGAGGCCCAGCCAAGAGCATCCAACTGGTCAAAATGAGTTACGAGAACAAGGTCACACGACAAGCGCTCAAGAAGGTCTGGAGCTGAGCATTGCTCAAGTCACTGCTTTGTTGGTGGATGATGTTTGGGCCAATTGTTGAGCTTGTTTACAACTTAATTGCGCATATAGGGATTACAGTATATGTATGTATATGTACTATATACTATATACTGTAACCCATGATGGAAACCCTATCAACCAGCCACTAGCTGGATGTTTATGGGGTTCTATATTGTTTCTATTGTCGGCAGGTGGGCATCGAGATCCGTGGGGTGATGACAGACCTCTCTGATCTTCGCAGGCGGATGGGATTACAAGCCTCCATTCTGCCACAGACTGGCAGGGATAGCTTTAGTATGGGAGCCAACAGTGGAGCAGAGGTTCCAACTTTGGCTGGGAACCTGTGAAGTACGCCCAAATTGCATCGAATTGCAACATACCGGATCAATAATGATCAATATCTAGAATTGTTTCAGGGGAACGAACATCCATTTACCAGCAATCCATCCCTATGTGATGCGCATCCAATTTTTCATCCCTTCCACTTGCTGCCACAACAATGGAGCTGCTATCATTTGGGTTGCCAGCAGATGCGGTCAGACTCTTTCTTTCCTACACGGCGAAGCCGTGGGCGATTGGTGCAGGCAAAGACCAGATGGGTTGGTTCACCCCACCCGCCTAAAAGATCCGAAAAGGAAGAGTTTCAATTAAACCAAAAACATCCAAAGGTTACAGGGGAATCTAAGCGATGAGATTTCCATTCAGATAAACAGATTAGCATCACAGCCATGTCGTTGTTTTTGGACTTGTATGACTTGGTTAAGTCAAGGTCCGCCTGCACCGAGTCATTGAAACGGAAACAGTTTGCCGTTGAGCCATTGGGCCATTGACCCCCTCTTGAGCCACCCCCAAGTCTTAAAGAGACCGGGGGAGCTTAGGGCGTCCCAGTTCTGGGATGGAGCCGATAGAAAAAGGTCCCCATCAACAGGATGATTTTTCAAATGACTAATCAGTGACCAATCTTCCATTTTCCGGTTGCCATAGCATCGACCCGGGGCCGTTTGTAGTTTGACCTCTCTCAGGTCTGATGTGGTGGAATTGAGCAAGTGCCTTGGCCCCGTGCTGCAGTGCATCTAAATTGCACACAAGTACCTACACAAATGCCTACACACATAAACATCATAATCATAATCATGCTTACATAGTATTCATTTATTCTACCAGGGTTGCTTGATTTCTTCCATATGAAAATTGATTGAACAATTGCCGTGAATGGGATAATGGGATGTGTAAATTGTGGGGATTACCAACCATGATTTCACAATTTGATATCATTTGATCATGATGATAACATATTAAAAGTCAGGGGTCAGGGTTAGAACCCCATGCCTATTTTGCCCTGACCAAGGCATGCCTATGGAAATTACGTGGTGCAGCACCTCCTTGTGCCTTGTCAGAGGTTGCTTACTTATTTGCCAAGCATTCTATTGGTCAATATTGGCTACATTCTGAAAACAAATAAAGCCGGTTCCATTTGAGACTCAAGTTGACTCAAGCTTGACATAAAATGACTAATTACATAGGTCAAGGTCATTGAATATACATAGGTGAATTGCGAAGACATGAAGACTTGTTGGAACAATACTACTTGAAGATAGCTGGATAAGAATCCAAAACTTGGATGATGCGGAAAATTTTGCAGAACTCCCGTATGTTTGGTAGGTTAAACCATATTAAAACCATTATTTACGGATATTTACGGTAGATTTTCCCTGAAACCACACCATTGATGATAAAAAATCCAGGTCTTTTCTGGTAAAGTCCCAGCATTTGACAATTTGCTGGTGAAGTCGAATTTTCAATTTATCAAATGTTGGGCTGTCACAACTTTTCATCAATTACTGTATCCCTAACACACATCTGAAATCAATACCATGTTCATGGATTTTCATCGATTTTCATCGATTTTCATCGATTTTCACCAATGTCCATTCATTTTCATCCAATCTTTCCCTAACAAAGATCATCACATCAATCAATCCCATGTAACCATTCATCCCAACCATCCCGAAGCATCGAGGAACACGGCAGCCAGCAGCAGCGGCACCAGTTGCTGCAGCAGCTGATCTGCGAAGCCAAGCGAATGGCGAGGCACAAGGCCAGATGTCGGAAACATGGCTGTTTTCATTGGAAAAAATGGGATTCTTTCATTGATTCTCAACAGAAATGCTAAGCAGAAATGGTAGTGAAATGGAGATTTTCAGCAGAAATATGGGGGTTTTACTGGAGTTTTAATTCACGGAAATAGGATTGAACCAACCAAATGGGGGTTCAACCAATGAACAACGGATATTTGTGTGTCTGAATCTAGCGAAAGGGCGATACTCAATTTAATTGGACCCATTATAACAAGTCGTTGGGTTTGAGTGTAGCCGCTAAGCCAATTTCAAAAACAACATGTCCTAGATGAGGGTTGAACTTTACATAATTACTATGGATGGAAGAGATCCTGCACCACCTTGGATGGTTGAACCCCTATCAATAATGGGACAAATGATAAACCACCCATCAACTGGTGCAGGATTTCTTCCATCCACCGTATTTCATCAAAAACATGGCTGGGTTTTAATGTTCCCTCGGCACCTTGAAGAGATTCGCAGCTGGAATTGCCAGGTAGCAAGCCATGTTATTGAGAGCGCCCTCGTGCATGCTGCGCACGAGGCGTGCGTTGGACATCCGCAGCTATCAGCTATCATCTTTAGGTCCTTGACCATCCATAGCAAAGCCATCCAAGTTGACAGTCCATAACCATCCAGATTAATATAGATTAATTGATAAATAGATCAATAAATATATACTTTGAGTGCACATACGTGCGACACTTCACGGCACCATTTCAACTGGCGGCGTTGTGCACAGTTGGCTGCACCCTTTGAAGCTTGGCAGCTCCTCAGCTGCTGTGCCCCCGGGTGGAAGGGGTGGGTGAGACAAAAGCGACCGAGGTGTGCTTGAGCCCCGGTTTCACGTCCCACTCATGTTCCCTAAAAGTAACGCTTATGTCTAAGCTCCAACTTTGAGTGCACATACGTGCGACACTTCACGGCACCATTTCAACTGGCGGCGTTGTGCACAGTTGGCTGCACCCTTTGAAGCTTGGCAGCTCCTCAGCTGCTGTGCCCCCCCAGGCGTTCAGCCATTTCAAAGTAGCCATGAAGTGCCGCCATCAAGTATAGTGGATCTTCTTGTCCACCTGTGCCATCTTTCCGGCTAGCTCCTTGAGGGCCTGCCCACCATCATACAAATATCTCTGCACCGAGCTGCTCGTCCACCGCCCCATGCGTTTCACCAGCTCGATGTCTGCCGATGCTTGAAACAAAGCACTTGCTCCTCCAATCCTCAGAGAGTGCGACAGGAACCTTTCCGGTGGAAGCCCAACTGCTGTGGCTGCCCTCTGCAGCAAAAACTGGACCTCCACCCTTTTCAACATTGTGCCATTTCCCCATCGGAACAGTGGCTTGTGTGCTTCCGCCCCTTGGAAACGGCCAGGGCACACCTTCCGATAGGCGTCCAATGCTTCGACTGGACAAAGGTGGGCGACTCCTGTTCGGGCCATAGTCTTGCACGACCCGAATGCCTCTTGATCAGCCTTCGTTTTCCGAAACTGCACTGTGACCTCTGTGGCTAAGCCCACCTCCACTGGTTCGTCCTCCTTGGACAACTTCACATCCAAGCCTCGAAGCACATGATCCACATTGACCCCATTCGAGTCGCAGAACTCCGAAGCTCGCATCATGAAGAACCACGCCGTCAAGAGCGCCGCCTGGACCATGACTCCATCCACTCGTCCTTCTCCTCGAAGGTTCATAGACCCTGCAAACTGCCGTCCCACCCACTGCAGCATTGCCGGTGTGACGCCCAACCTGCGTGGTTTTCTGGCAGCCCGACGGTCCAGCCCATTCATCAGGACCCACAACCGAAATTGACCCTCTGTAGGGTCGCCAGCGCCTGCCCTCTTGTGAGCATCCTTGATTGCGAAAACTGCCTGTTTCAGGCTCGCCGAGGAAAAGTTGAGCCATCCCAAGTAGCCCAAAAACGCCAGAATCTTGTTCTCATTCTCCAGCTTGTCCTCCTTCGGGTTGAGGTAGTGACTCGGCCACTGTTGCCTTTCCGTCCAAATGCACCATTTGCTCCAGGCTCCAGCATATGCCTTTGCTGTGCTGTCGGCCTTGTCCCCGCATAGGTTTGCCTCCAGCCAATCCTCAACCTTGCCATGAACGTCACCGTCAAAGCCCTGCCCTTGATCTCCAACGCCCAACTTCGATTCTGCCTCTTGCTTGAGCGCTGCCCTTCCTCGACGACCGCCGGCTTTCCGATCGTGGTTCTCCACAAAGTTCTCCTCATCTTCCAAGACCTCAAGCCACAAAGCTTCCCCAAGTCGACTGACGGTGGCTCTTCGGCATCCACCAGCCTTCCATGAGTCGCTTTCTTGCCCAAACTCGCCTCTTTTCCACAACCGAAGCCAGATCAGCAGCCTAGCCAGGCTTTCATCCTGTGGCCCGTCTCTGATTGCACCTGCAACTTGTGCTCCTCGCCCATGTGCGACAGTTGCAGCCCACGCCGGCAAAGATTCGGCGGTTCTCACGCCTGTGGCCCTACAGCCCTCCGCATAGGCTGCCTCCTCCCCACCGGCGTTCTCGACAGCCTCGATCCATTCATGAGGGCTGCGGCCCTGCGCCTTCCACACTTCTTCAAAACTCAGCGGTCGTACGTGTCCCTCAGGGGCCGCCCTGTCATAGACGTACAACTGTTCATACTTGCCCGTGTTCTTGTCCACCAGCGGCCACTTCCCGGGTCCAGAAAGTCCATGAATGTTCACTCTGTCACCCTCCTCCACCCAAAACAGGTGAGCAGCCACATGAGGTAGCAAAGGGTCTCTGGGAACGCCCTGTGTCAGTGAGAAACGAGCGGGCTTCTCCCAGGCCAGCCCTTTCCACACCTCGCCAGGTTTGATCAAAGTGCCCAAAGGAGTAGCCACCACGGTCCTCACCAGTGGCTCTTCAGTGAGCTTGTCCTCCAAAACTTTGGCGACCGCCATGAGCGCCTTCCGCCTGCGAGCCAATGCTTCACCAAACTCTGTGGTCAAATACTCCACCATGATGCAAGCCCATCCGGCCTTCTCACACCACGTTTGGGCACAGCTCCAATTGGCCAAGCATGGCCCTTCGACGACGCCAACCAAACCTTTCAGCTCCTTGGTGTACTTGAGAAAGGACTCCAAGCTCGTCCCCTTCAAATCACAGCCAATGGTGCCCATCACAATCTTGCACTTGCCCTGTCCACTGCCTGCGGCTCCGCAAGCTCTTGCCACCACCTCGAAGTCCTTGACCTTTCTGCCATGGGTTGTCCACTCAACAACTTCGATGTCAGACCACTTCCAACCAATCGGTTTGTCGATGGCCCTTTTCACACGCTGTTCCTTCAACTGCATGATCAATCTCCGATCCTCAGGATCTGCCCATGACAGGAAACAGGGCCCAAACTTCTCGGTGTCTTTCAAGGCCAGCTCGATGGGTTCCTGCATTCGAACTTCCGACCAGCCCTTGGTTTCGATGAACTTCTCGAACTCCTCCCTCGTGCACCTGGTCACAAAGTCGGAGTCGACGTTGTGGAACGTTCTCCACCATCCAGCCACCACTGTGAAGCCATACCTCATCTCACACATGGCCAGCACTCTGAGCAATAACCGTCCTGCCCTTGAACCACTTTGACGTTTGGTGATCCACGACCTCACCACCGTATTGTCACCGGCATAGATGACCACCTTTCCAGCCCACTTCACCCCGCATGTAGCGGCCAGTGCCGTGAAGGCGAGCATCTCGCTCACATGGATTCTGACCTTGTCCTCATCCTGCTCCCCTTTCAAAGCTTCACGGAGCCATGGGCCCATCTCCGATGTGCTCATCTGAGCTGCCAGCTTGTTCGTCCAGTCGAGGGCCCCAACCATGGACGGAGTAGCATCCGCCGAGACAAACACTGCATGTCGGTGTCCTCCTGGTAGACAAAGTCGCTCCCTTGGCTCCAAAAGCTCGTCCAGGGTCGCTCCAAACTGAGCTTCCCACATCTCCGGTCTTGCACAAAGCCAACGACACACTTCGAAAAGAGCCCAAAGGTCATCCCACGCTCGATCTCCGGCAGCCTTCTCATTTGTGTAGTTCAAGACTCTTGGCGTGACCGGCATGGAACCATCTCCACAGGTGAGGAACACATCCGCGGCCTTGAGCTCATTCTTCAAGCCCCTCACCACCACCGCCCACCCGGTGGCGATACCTCGAAACTGCTGCAGCTGTCTCAGGGTGAGCACCTTGGAGTCGAAGTCGAAGGCTGGGTGCGCCAACAAATGAGCTCCCTTCTCAATGCGCCGCGACGGAAGGCTCGCCCTGTCCTCCTTGGTGTTGATGTTCAATCCCCAGATGGTTTGCTCTTCCTTGTAGGCACCTTCAAGCAGGTTCTTCTCCTCGTTCACGGCATCCTTTCCAAGCATCAGCCGAACACCCTCGTCATAGCAGCTGGCAGACGTCCACGGCCTCAGGCCGATCAAAGGTTCGACCAGCACCATGTCATCGACCAGGATCTTTGCGTCAAAGCCTGCGAGTCCATCCCTCCTGGATTCACCTGGCCGATGGGCTCGATGGTACTCCTCCGTTGCCCTTCCAAAGGCCGTCCACTCGCCGGGCGCGCCGCTGAACCCAAAGCTGGACACCAAGTAGATGACCGTCATCTCACTCTTCTCATGGTTGCCCTCCGCATAAATGCCCTCGGTGTCCTGCTCCATCATCTCCTCCTTCCAAGGAAGATCTCCTGCAAACAGGTGAGCGTCCTTTGGAGCCAGCCACAAGAGGCGGAATGCTCCAGCAATGTCCCTCTTGCAGATCACCACGTCAATGCCAGGGAAACGAGTCTTGTGCCATAGTACCCGACGGGCGATCTGTTGATGTGTCGGTTGCAAAGCCGGGGGGTGCCACCATTTGCTCGTGGCTTGATTCACCTGCCTCTGATCATGGACCACCCGTTTGTCCGGGGCTATCGACCGATCTGGTAGCATCTTGTCGACAGCTTCAAACGGAGAGGATACTGTGTTGCCCAGCGCCACATTGTCCTTGCGCACAACCAGGACCCGGTGCTTTCTGACATCTTTGAAGATCTGCTTGTAGACCTGGTCCAGGTGAGCCTTCGCATTGGGATGAAGACCAGCTTCGACTCTTTCCGTTGAACCAGGATGCCGTGCCACCATGCCCTTCTCTTCCACTGACCGCAAATAGTCCAGCAAGAGCGGGTGAATCAATCCATCCAAGACCTTGTCCTGCACCCCTCTGAGGTTGTCCAGGTCCTGTTCCTTTCGAACATGCCACAAAGCCTCGGCGGCCTCCTTCACTCCTCCTGCCAGAGTCAAAAGTTCATCTCCACATTGAAGCACTTCCGCCCAGTCCTTTGCAGTCCCTTTGCCCAGGGATTGGATGACCTTCACATAGTCCCGGGCCTTCTGTCCAACAGCTGAGGAATTGTTGCACCCCCCTGCTCTTCGGAGTGACCGACTTCGTGGTGTCAGAGTGCCATAGCTCGTGGACGAGGTTTCCGACTCACCGGACTCTTCCTCCTCGTCTTCGTTCCAATCCTCATCGTTCTCGTCGGGATCGTCCTCCTCTCCGCCAAGGTCGCCATCTCCATAGAAAGCATCATACCATGGGAGATTCCATCCCTCAAACGTGAAGACACTGTAGCCGACCCAGTAACCCAGATCTGGGTCCCGCTCCCCATTCTCTCTCCAATCATCATGATAATGGCCCACCGTGAGCAAACGAAACGGGCCTCTCCCGTGGTATTTGCACACACTGAGCCTCTCACTGCGAAGGTCAACCGGTCCGAAGCCCTGATCGTTGCCAAAGACCGGGTAGGGAACGAAGTAGTGCTTCCTGGGCTCCACATGGTATACCACCAAGTGACCTTCTCCAAGTCGGAAATAGTCCCTGCCATCCGGCAAGAAGATCTTCGGTCCATAGTTTTTTGGGTTATCCAAACCAAAGGTCATGTCCAACCTGCTGTCGTTGGGATCTTCTCCATCTTGTCCGTAGATGTACGCTTCAATGACCTCATCGAACTCATTGACATCATTGAACTCATGCCAGGCCTGCCTGTCCATTGCCGCTTCAGGCGTTGGAACATCACCCAAATCCGGACCATCTTCGCCCCCCGTCGCCACCATTGAAACCGAAGGTTCAAAGGCAATGCTGAATGGTTGGAAGTCATGGGGCACTTCATTCAACAAATGCCATGCTCCTCCCACCTCATCCAAGTTCTCAACAGGTTGGCCAGCTCTACGAGAAATCTCTTCGGGTTCCTTCTCCTCTTTCTCGTCGTGGCCTTGATCCAGATGAGTGCTCTCTGCTTCACTGGCGACGGACTCTTCAGGCACCTCCTCGACCACCAAGACGGACTCTTCAGGCACCTCCTCAACCACCAAGAGCTCCTCCTCTTCGTCAACGTCAATGACCGTGCGCCCTCCAGCCTTGTCCTTTTCACTCAGAGGTCTGTCCAAGGTGAAAAGACTGACCCCCCCCACAACCACATTGCTCCGAACCACATCCACAATGGTCTTCACAAATTGCTCACAATAGACCCCAGCCTCCGTGCATCGTGTGGTGCGACTGCCAGGTCTGGACCCTTTGAGTGGAACGTGTTTGTGAGTTGGGCCAACTCCGGGGCATCGACGTGATAGGGCGGCCCTCACCGCCGCATTCTTTTTGAAGACGACCCGGGTCAAGTGCTGGTAGAAGGCATGTTCCTCGTCAGGAGGGCCCAGGCCAAAAGAGCACATCCGAAACTCCACCCAATCAACATCGGGACGACGTAAGACCGTTTGCCAGCATGGTAAGTCCCATTGCTCCCAGAACTCTCCGCGAAGGGAAAACCGCCGTTGTCCAGCATCGTGGTGAAGTACAGCGCTCCGAACTCTGACAGCTGGTTTCCTTCATGCTCTCGATCGGTCAAGGGTTTCCCATCTCCCCCGGCAGGTTGACTGAACGTGCGGGAGCCACCATTCTCAATGTTCCAATCACAATAACTCGTGCATGGTGCTGCCACCCATCCAACGTTCTCCGGACCATGCCTCGCTCTGGCCAAGTGAGCTTGTTGAACTTCAGGGCGAAGAAGGTCGTGGTCTCCATTGTAGCCACTTTTCATATGTGGGTCCGTGAAGACCTCGACTGGCTCCAAAGCCTTTCCTCCTTGTCTTCGCCACTCTGCCGTCAAGGTTGCATGGCCAGCGAACAATTCTCTCAGCACCAAGCCCTCCGTGTGGTTTCCTCGAATGACCGTTGTGTCGGACACATCCATGCCCCCAGCAACAGTGGCCAAAGCGGCTAGATGGCTGTGGCGTCTGAGTTCCACCGAGACTTCTCCAGCTCGACGACTGGGTTTGCAATGCCTGCAAGACAGCCTTCATGCCAAAAGAAATGGAAACCCAATACAGGGGTCGTGACCACCTCCTCATTCTCCAACCATGCATCGATGTCAAAATCCTCCGGTGGTTGGGCCAGCACCATATGCCCTTTCCAGATCAGTGTGCATATGGTCCATTGGTGTGGTTTCCACGCTCCTCCCACGACGGCCTCCACCAACAGGCGTCCTCGGACGTCAGCCCGTAACACCACAATTCTGGCTTCCTCCAGCGCTGCAACCGGAAAGACAGCAAATGACCGAAAATCACGTTCATGATGTGGGTGGACGATGTCATGTGCATACACCCTCAGCTCATGCTCAACCGGCGTGACAAACTCTGCCGCCTGACCCATCTGGGAGTTTGCTTCCAGTGCAAGCCGTGTTTGCTCCAAACGTAGCGCCCTTGCCTCTTCAGCGACCTCCTCAAGGGTGGGTCTGCGTCCCAACCTCCTGCTAAGCACACCTGCCGCCACAGTCTTGTGACGCACTGGCGCTTTTCATCCACCGGCTCGACCAAGCCCAGAGTAGCTGCCAGCTCCTCGTCCATCACGATGTCCTCCATGTAGTCCCAGGTCCTCCAGGATATTCCGTCAAGCTCGAAGCCACCCTGTCCCGGTTCACCTGGTGCCCACAACGTGTCCTTGACGATGAGCCGCACTTGTTCTCCTGCCTTCATCCTCATGGGGGTCTTTTCCATGAGGCTCGCCGCTTCTGCTGCCAAATCAGCAGCTCCAAACAGCTGCATCTCCTCCAACAAATCCTCCAATGAGATGGCGGGGTCTTTGGCCACTCTGGTAGCCGCCCATGAGTACAGGTCGTCCGATGCATTGATCAAAGCCGACAAAACAGGCCCGGTTTGAAGTTCTCGGGCACGTTGCACCAAGCTCACCGCTTCAGCAGGGGCCTCATTTTCGCCACCGTAATGAGGACGTCCTTGATGAGCATCCGGAACTCCCCAGCTTTGGTCGGGTTGACGTATCAGATCCTTGATGTCCTCCTGCTTGGTGTAATCCACTGCTTCAAACTCCTCGGGAATGTCCCAAAAGCGCACAGTTGTGGCTCTCTGTCCACCAGCTTTCCCATCAGTCGCAGGCTCCGAGGGTGGTTGCCCATCCCCTTCGCCAGCCTTTCTCTTGGGCTTGGACATCTTCTCGGCCTTGTCAGCTTGAATTGCAGCCCGGATCTCCTTGATCTTGTGCTCGACGCTCTCCTTGGTCTCGATCTTCATCCTCTTCAACCCACCTCTCTTGAGGAGTTGCATCCTCACACATGGGTCCAGCTGTTCGAAGCTTCCCTTCAAAGGTTCATGGGACCTCTGACAACTCTGGGACGAGCAACCCTGGTGCGTCAGGTGGGACCAACAAAGAAGTGTTCCACCCTTGTCAACAGGAGCTCTGTCACGCGCCCTGTTGACTTCCTCGGCGGTCAGCTTGGGGCCGAGAAGGGTTTTTGTTCCCTTGTCGCCGGCTGCATAGTTCCCTTGTGCTCCACCATCTCCTCCAGCGGGATGCCCTCGATCTCGTCGACCTCCGTCCCAGGTGAGCCGCCATAGAGCTCGTTCCTGCTGCCGTTCGATCCTCGGCTCCAACTCAGTCTTGAACCACCCGTCCGGATTGCGGATGTCGAAGGTGTTGGGCAACTTCAACCAAGCTTGCCCATCCGGTCCCGGCAGCAGTGCATAGAAGCGCAACTCCTGCAAGCTCATGCTCTCCCTCTTGGCAATTTTCTTGATGCCTCTGATGAGCTCCTTGATCTCCTCCAGGAACCTCCAATGCAACTCTTCCCAAGCCTCCATGATGATGCCCAGGGGCCACTTGTGGGGACACTCCTGGTGCCAGCCAGCCAAAGTGTCGGCTGCATGCTCTCGGACATCTTTCCACTCTTCACCATAGACCAACCTCCAAATCTCATTTTGTCTCTTCACCCTGGCCGTCCAGTCCTCCAATTTCGTTGGCGCAGCCGGCTTCTGATCAACTGCACCTTTGCCTCCTCGTTCCACAGCGAAGGCGTCCAGCTCTGCGTCGGTGTACTGGATGAAGTCCGAAGCACCTAGACAGCACTTCTCCTGAGAACCCCAATACGGCCCCGCCAAGCCCACTGCCAACCGTGTTGTCATGCGTTGACGAAAACCCATGGCCCTCAGCTTCGTGGCTGCTCCAACCTGCGCTGACAACAGTGCGTTCGCAAGGCTGGATCCAACCTCTCCTGGGCACACTGACACTGAGTACTGATCGCAGGCTCTGATGACGAAAACCATCTCCTCAGACAACCGGTTCAAACCCTTCACTGTTCCTTGAGGATGGGAGGTTTGCTCAGACTGTGCCTTGACCAACGACGCCAGCTCTGCCGTCTGAGACTGAATCGCCTGCGCCAAGACTGCCATGGTGTCTGTGCCCAAACCTGTTGTAGCAGCTCCTGCCTTCCGATCTTTGCCAAAGATAGTGGGGTTCCCAATCATCAAAGGGGGCCCTGGCTTCTCTGTCACTTGCACCGGTCCACTGGACAGACCCGGCGGGGTAGAAGGTTTCGAAGGTGCCTCCGATGCGACCAAACTCCAAGAGTGAGGAATGGAGCTTGTCCCTGGCGAGGGTGTCCCAAGCTCCTCATCGTCCTCAAAATCAGCTCTCCACTTGGACAGGAACTTCGTCAGCCCTTTCTGACCTTTGGACTGCTCTGCAACACCCAGACCATGAAGGATCCTGCTCAGCTCGGAAAACCCAACACCTTTCTCCTCAGCCATGGCCCTCCGAACTTGTCCCTCTGGAAGATCAACTTCTCGTCCTTGGGCATAACGTTCGAAGAACTCCTCCAACCAGTTTCGGTGATCTCCTCCATCTGGTGAGTCTAGCATCCCAAGCTTTGCCAGATGTCGATGCACAGAAGACTTCGGAGTGACGCCTGGCGATCTTGATGCCAACCGTTTCTTTCGCGGCAACGGTTCCTCTTGCTCTTTGATCTCCTTCTCACGGGGCAAACTCTCCTTGAGGTCCTTCAACTCATCCAACAAGCGCTGAAGTTGGGGTTCTGGTACTTCCGGAGGTGCTTGTACTGGTTCTGTGTCACGTTCATGAACATCACCTACATCTTCTCGGCCCCGACGGTCTCGAGAACGCGATCTCGACCTCCTCGAAGTCGCTCCCGGCTCGTGGTGCCAACACACATGCAGCCCTCCAGTTGAAGCTCGACCCAAGCGTTTGCAGTCAGTTTGACAACACTTAAACATGTACCTCTGGGTAACATACTTACTCACATGAGTGGGACAAAAACATCCTACCATGCCCGGGGACGGTTCGTCCTCGATCAAAAGAGGGACCTGCTCTTTGGCAGGTGCAGTGCAAGGCCCGGCGCTCAAAAAGGCATCTCCCTCAGCGGTGGACCATCGAATGCGATGGGCATTGCAAACCAGTGCCTCATTCTCGGACTCAGAGCCAAAGTCTGCCAACTTCCCTTTGACGACCTGTGAGCCCTTCCACGCCCACTTCCATAGAAGCCCGCCAGCATCCTTCGCACCCTGAGCCGCCAAAGCCAGTTCAAACTTCTCCGGATCATACTTGCGGGCCAATCCATAGGACTTGAAATGCTGTCCATCCTCTGGACAAGACTCATTCCTGCATAGGTGAAGTTTGTCATGCCCTTGCAGATCTCGAAGCAGCGATGCAGTTCCCCGAAGGGTGTCAGGTTCTATTCCCACATAGAGACCACTGGACCTGATTGTTTGAGCATCTGGGCTCACCTTGAAGACTGCAACCTCGCTGCCTCTCCGCACGACGACCCACTTCTCCTGAGAGCTAAGGTACTTGAACTTCCTGAGCTCAGACGTCTCGGGTACGCTTCCAGTGCCCGGACCGTAGTACTCTGCATCCAACGCCTCCGGAGTTCCACCGCAGGCCCGCTGAAGATGAAACATCACTCGCCCAGCTACTCTGACCACCTTTCTCACAACCCAGATGAATGTCATCACGATTGCTATCACCAGGGAGACGATGGGCCAGCAGATTGCCCAGACATAGTGAGCCACCACGCACAGGGTCAGGACGATCACGATTTGGATCAACCGACGACAGCCTGTTTTGACGTCTCCCCAAACCGAACCGAAAAGACCCCAGCCAGCCAGTCCGACAAGTCCGTCGAAGATCGACCAGATTCCCCAGTCCACGGGATATCCACCCCATCCAGACAAAGTCTCTCTAACGCTCTGATAGGCTTCCGCCAGCTGATCAAAACGAGAGACAGCTGTTGGGACATGTTCCCCCGCCCATGCCTTCCAAGGGCCTTCAGGCTCAGGAACACTACTGTTGCTCCACCAGCCGGTACAACCGGAGCCGCTCAGCAGGACAAATGCCAGCAGTCTGAACATGGCACCGCCCCACTGAGACAAAAGCGACCGAGGTGTGCTTGAGCCCCGGTTTCACGTCCCACTCATGTTCCCTAAAAGTAACGCTTATGTCTAAGCTCCAAGTAATAGTAGGTGAATAATTCGATGAATAACGAGAGATTCGTAAACACATACATGAAAACACACACACATTTATGTATCAATCACTCATAACCATCCATAACCATCCACAACCACCCATAAGCATCCATAACCATCCACAACACTGGGGAACTGGATGGAACTGGTCATTTGTCTCACTTCGATGGCTGGTCATTTAGCCATTTCAGGACCGTCAGCAACTGAAAGCAGCTCTGGCGGAGAGCGTGGCAGCCTTGCAGAGTTTGTCCGTGCGCTTGCCATGGTTTTGGGGTTGGGCGCTGGAGCAACTGGATACCGGAACTACCAGCAATCCCAATAAGATGCACACAAGTAATTCACCATTGCAATTGTATTTTAATGTTTCATTTTAACCTTTTCTGTTTTTGTGGTTACTATAGTGAAATCCTTTCATTTTTGCAAAGAGACTTGGGGAATACAATGGCAAGCCGCTTGAATCAATGTACTTGCAGCATAAGATTGGCCAGCTGCCTAGGTGACCGTTGTGATAGTTTGAAGGAATCTATATTTGCATACTATATGCATACTGTCTACTATTCATGCACACACATATTTATATACACAGTAATGCTTATATTTTATTTACATACATATCTTTATACATACATATAATTACACATATTTACACACACATATTCATAAACATATTTACTTAATTTATATACATATACTTCAACTATATCCAGAACATCGGGAGTAGCTGTTGCACCCTGTTGCACCAATGGCTGGTGCTAAAGGCGAGCAATTATGGCAGCTTCGTGGTGAAGGAGATGAAAAAACGCTGATGCGTTTCGTGTGGACCAGCATATGCGCCGCCCCGGTGACGCTGGGGGATACAGAAGCGAAAAGGATGGCTTTGGTTTCCAAATAGGTCCGTGAGAAAGATAGAACTATATACTGACCTTCCATGTCAAGCATTGCAAGCATTTCGTATATTTCGTTGAAGTTGTGCGGCTACAGAGCCACTGGAAGCAACATGACCACCACAACATACCAAAGCCTCCTGGGAAAGCTTTCCAATTCGCAGTGCCACTGGCTCACACTGAGGGTGCGAAGGAGGTACAGGTTAGACATGAACGATGGTGATTGCACATCATCAATCACTGGATCTCTCTGACCTTTGGGGGTTCCTTTTTGAAATCCTAAGAGGGAGAGAGAGAGATGTATCATGTGAGTGTCAGCCAAGCTTGCTATTTAGGTCAAACCCTGGGTGACTTGGTAACAACTCCGGAAAAGATGGTCACTATAAGCAATCACCACTTGGAGCATTTTTCAAGATGCACATCGAGATGGTTGTTCTCCATATAGATGCCATTCCTACATGATAGAGACCCATGGCACCTTTTTATAGCATAAAACCAAGCTGTTGGACCTGGTCGTTCCCTCCTGCCATCCAAGAAGAAAGGCCCTGAGACCCAACTGGCGCAGCTCCATGACATTCCATGACGCAACACCATGAATTTAAAGGATGCCAGGTGTGAAAGGTCTGGTTTTTTAGTATGGACATCCAAAGAGATGGGTGATAAATGGTGATAAGGGTTTACGTTTAAAGTTTTAAAACCCGAACAGGGTTTACTTGGGTAAAATATGGCCCAACACCCAGTAAAAAAGAAGATTCACCTGGGGAACAGAATTTTCATGGGTTACTCACGTCAGGACCGGGATTGAGCCACATCCATATGTCAGATGGCGCAGATAGGAGCTGTGCCAGGGACAGGCGGTCCAAGGCCTTGCTGCTGGCACCACCCATTCCGCTGTGACTGAAGCAGGGGTGCTGGGGATGAGGGTAGAGAGACGATGCGAAGGTTATTGGAGATTTATGGATGGATGGAATATCATATGATTGGAAGATGGGGACATTCTTGTGAAATTGATCGTTTTCGGCTGAGAAGAAAGGACATTGACGTCCTCCTGCATTTTTCTTTGTATAGTAGAGGAGGAATCTATGAGCAGAAATGTGGTAAGGCCCTGAAGTGGTAGAGGAAGCAAGAGATACCCTCTGGTAATTTAACATAGCTATTGAAAATCACCATTTTTAATGGGAAAACCATTAAAAATGGTGAGTTTCAATAGCTATGTTAAATTACTAGAGGGTAATCATTTTAGGATTTTAGAAGAGATGACTGCCCAAACCTTGAACATCGCTTTGCTGCATGGTTCATTTCTGCTTGGAGCTGCCTCTCTACATCTCGAGCCTCTTGAAATCCATGCATGATTTCCAGCTTGAATTTAGCCATGGGAGAATACCCAGCAGAACTGCAGAAATATGATGACATATGAAAAAAGGGAGGACACCCATTGAAATCCAGTGAAATCAATTGAAGTCCATGAAGATTTCCGGCTTTCTGGCAGGTTTCTGCTTGCCATTCTCTTAGATTCTGGCATTTTTGACCTTGCTTTGTATAGCCGGGTGCTGGAGCTCAGCGTCTCACAGTACCTCTGAATTGGTGTATAGGATGACCTCGTGGCCGACCAAACAGGGCCAGAGATCCAGAAACTCGAAGCCGATCCGACACAAAACATGGGCTGAGGATTGGGACGGTACAGATGAACCGATTATTGGGAGATGTGGAGATTGACCAACATTTGAGAGACATCCACCCAATTTGTCTCTCAAAATTTAGCAAAACCCAGCCTCAACATTTAGCAAAACTGAATTCGGACAATTTGAGAGACAGCCACCCTTTCTCAAACTGTCGGTGCAGGTGAGGGTTCAACATGGTTCAACTGAAGAGTTTGCACGAACCGCCGAGGTATCTACTGGGATTATCCACGTCTGAACCGTCAGGAACGTTTATTTCGAGGTTTAGTGGTTGGATCTCTATGCTTGGTAGGTGCCACATGGTGCGGATGAGACATCCTTGGCAGATGGTGATGGCGATGGCTCATGGATCATCTTCCCATATTGTCTCAAAGAGTTGGACGTCTATTTCATCCCATGGTTTATCATCGTTTTCTCAACATTTTTTTTCCAACTTGAACAGCCATTTTTGGGGTAAACATATCTCTATATATATATATAATTATGAGACAAAATCACGCCAAATCCATGTCGATTTTTGGGATGTCCAGCTGGGAGGTGCTGCTTCTGTGGTGCTCGCCATCTATTTGGCTGGACTTCCTCAGCACCTTGGGCGCAGCCGGTGGCATCTGGGTCCTCCTGGGTCAAAAAAGGTGCCCCATTCAACGGCACGCACCAAGGTGTTGCAGCAAATGGCTCAGCTTTCTATCCGTGCTCGCGGAGGCGCCTGGGGCCTGGGGCGGTTGGGCATTCCTGGGCCTGGCACGGGTAGCTCCAGGATGCTCCAGGTAGGCACCCAGTTCCAGCACCGGTTCCCACCAGGTCAAGGTGGTGATCTCTGTGGTGAAATATTGCCCGCAAGTCTGGCTCAATTACCAACGGAAAAGCACCGTTCCTTGGCGCCAACGGGAAGATCTTGGTGCTGGAGATCACATTTGAGGTTTACATCACTTCGGCCTAGTATCATTAATATCAGTGCATACCCCACATAAAGGGCGCGAGATGAACAACTTTGCCATTTAACAGCATTAAACATCATTTAACCAGGTTTCTGAGTGAGCATCTTAACTGATCTTTACATATCTTAAATACGTTGAAGCAACCAAAAACTGAGTGGAAAATCTCGCTGAGGTCGGTTGGACGATCTACAATGTCCTCCTGGACTTCACGGGAGGTGGGAGGATGAGAGGCTTTGAGATTGCTCCAGATGGCCTATTTATATATATATATATTTATATCATTTAAAATGATTTATATCCATTGATATCAATGCATACCATCCATTCATGGGAGGACTTGAAAACGATGTCATCGTTGTTCCGTGGGATTCATATTGCCCTTGCTTTACATATATCATACTGCACAGGAGGTGACATCTTTTTTGGGTGTTGAGTTTTTCCATTCCCTTTTTTCCGAGGCTTGTTGAGTGTGGCTCAGCATCTTGGCTCACCGGCACCAGACATGCGGTATTCTGAAGTCCAGTGCCACAGGCGGCCACAGGTAGATTCGCAGACACAAGGAATGCACACAACAGATCCAGATGATGACGATTGTCACTTGTTTTTCTTCTTCTTCTTCTTCTTCTTATTGATGATTATTGTTCATTTGTTCTTGTTGTCATGATTTTATTTTTTGATATCAGTACTATCATTATCATTATTGCCGTTGTATACCATGATCGTTGTTCCATTTTGGACCGCCAGCGGCGCAGCGCATTTTGAGGTTGCTGCTGGACTCATGGCTGACCAGTGACTGGAGCAAAGTATCTGGAGATCCAGCCAAGCTCATGTCTCTTGGCCAAGTGCTTCATGGCCATGCTGAGTGTCTGGGATGGGCATTTTTCTGTAAATAGACATCCGATAGCAGGTGCGAGCGGTTGATAGCGGTTGAGCTTGATCCCACTTTGCAACTATTGCGGGTAAGAGCTACGAACTCTTGACGCAGCAGCTGTTCTTTCCGGAAGCCATGGGAAGAAAGCATGCCAAAAAAAAGAAAGCATGCAGTGCGGCAGAACGCAGTTTAAATTGGATTTTGAATTTTTAAGTCTACACCTCATATAAATTTTCTTCCAGCTTTTCGTTTCAATATACAGTAGATTCATATATAATCACACGCACACAGATACGCACACACACAGGTGGGTAATATATATATATATATATTATATAATATAATATTATAGTATTCTTACCGATTCTTACTGCAAATGCATTACATCGTTTTGTGGGCACCGCTCTTTTCATGGGGCTATACTAAGCCCACTCTTTGCCGGTGCCATGGGTCGAACACTCCAGCGCCTTGTGAGCGGCGCTTTGAGCTTGATGCTGACGTCGTGTAGCGCCACGGATGCCCCCATTATTGGGGTCCTGTCGGTTCCCGCGGATGGAGGTTGCGAGACAGCTATGACCGCTATGACCATGGCTGGCACTGTGTCGTGCTTCGCGTCGCTGTACTCGAAATTCATTGAGGCGGCAGGCGGGGCGCTCCGGAATTGATGGCATGAGGATAGCATGAGAATGATGGAAGATGTGATTGTTGTAGCAACAATCCCTCAGTTTCAGGCGTTGGACGCATAGTCCTCCCTAAATCATTCTCACAATAGCATGCTATTGATTTGCGCCCATGGAAGGCTTTGAAGTCAAGGACTGAAGTGACTGAAGGATCAAACCTTGGGAGATATTGATACATTTTGTCGCCAATGGATGTGTTCAGGTGGACGTGTGGTGCCACTTCTGTACGATTGGAGCGACAGTGAGTTGGCGGAAGCCTTTGATGCGGTGAACGGCATCCTTTTCACAGGAGGAGGGGTGGATATTGCCAGGCAATCCAATGCCGAAGCCAAGCAGTACCTCCACGCAGCATCGGTGCTGTTCAATCTGACCTTGACATCCAGTGACTGGGTGCCCTTGTGGGGGACCTGCCTAGGCTTGCAAACCCTTTCCGTGCTGGGGGCAGGCGGGGATGGCCATGGACGGCCTTTCAAACCTTGGTGTAACATGGTGTAATATTCCTGAGGCATGCTCCACCCACAAAGACATTCCGGAAACAACATATTTTGGCCCGCAAACCGCAAACATGATCTTCTTTTGCAAGGTAAGAATTCTATCACCTC